ACCCTGCCTTCCCCTCCTGGGACCGACACTTCCTTGTGGTTATGTGTTGTGGGAGCTGGAGAACAGTCCATCACCTGTACTAATTCTAAAGCAGTTTGGTTGCGAGTGGTCTCAGGTTTGATTTTGTGGGTGGATTCAAAGCCCGAAACCATCCCCAAAGTTTGTTTCCTGAAAGTTCTTTTCCCCTTCTATGTGTAAGGCTGATCTGACATGGTAGCTTAGCAAGCATAAGCAGAAAGCACATTCTGCTTCCATATCAGAGAGAAAAAAATTCCCCTGAATTATTTAACCCCTCACGTGTTTGATCATCTCTCCTGGTATGCCGGTATCCACATGTGGGTGGTAATTCTTGCTGCAGAGAAGAGTTCAGTCCTGGTGGCTAATCAAATCCACAGCTGCCTTGGGAAGATTGCCACAATAATGCCTGTAATGAAGAGTTCCTTTGCAATAGCTCACCTCATGCTGCTAGCAAAGGGATGTAATCATGTTTGCCTCGTACAGAATGATTACATTCCAGAACATGATGACCCAGATTTCTACTAACTTGCAAAGATTTTTTTTTTTAAACTGAAAATTCAGAGAGGCTGTCAGCTATGCTCCACTGTATGCAGCAGGTACTTTAATCATTTGGTTCTGGGGATTTACAGTTTACAGCATTATTCACGCTGTGATGGCTCCTGATTGCTCAGTGGGCACTGCTGTGGACTCCAGTGGATCGGCTGCAGATGCTGGAACTATAAATTAAATAAAGCTTTCACTCAAATTGACGCTTTCCTCTTCAAGAGCTGGAATATTTTTCTCTGGGCTGATGTATGTAGGACACAGTGCTTTCTCTGATCGTTTTTAATAAGGTTTGAAGGCGCAAAAGTTGCCAATATCTTTAAGACAGTGGTGAAAGCAGAGAGTCAACAGGTCTGGCATTCAGACTGACTTCATACCAATGGTAATTAGCACTGCACTGTGCTTGCCTTGCAGCAGCAGTTCAGTTCTTTCCTGATGCGCTGGCTGCGTGTCAGTACTGGTGTTGTGTCTGGACTTCAGGCTGACTAACCTCAATAACGTGTAGTTGAAATGAAAATTAAAAATGCTTGTGGTCAGGTTTGACTCTTTTCACTTCAGAGGCCTGTCCTGGAACCTTTTTTAAACATCTGGTTGCTGAGTTTTCGTTCTTGTCAATGCAAATAAACATCTGTTTCAGAGTTTGTATATTATTTATAATCCACTTCAGTAGTTATGTACACACTGTATGAACAGCAGTTCTGAAATACGTATCGGGTCTATTGGCCCAGTACTTTTCTCTCCCATGAGCTCAGACTTTTTGGGGGACAGTTTAGTGTAACTGATCTCTGTGTCAGCCGGTTCCAGTTGGGGTTAGAAGACCAGACCTCGAAGCAGAATTGAAGATGGTACCTTCCCAACAAGAATGTGCAGGGCGTGTGGAGACCGACAGACCCACTCTCTTAGGAACTTGCCCCCCCAAAAGTCAGTAAGTTGCAGATTTGAGCTGCTTTGTAGCATGTCTGTTGTATTCGGGAACCTCTCGTGTGGTGGTTGGCTGGGGTTCTTGGGAAAAGCCAGGAAAAAGGGGAGTGGCTCGGGCTTGGCTCTGCTGTTTCACCTCTGTACAAATGCAAAAAGAACTGGCAATGTGTTAAGGGAACTGTGCACTTTGGGTGCCCTCTGCCACCCCTCAGGTGGAAGGAAGGGTCCTGCTGTAGCATCCAGTTTGGTGTTTCTGCTTCAGGGAGGAATCGGGAATTCTTGCCGCTAACCAAATTGCCAATCAAACCCCAAATCTCAACACGTACAGCCCTAGCAGGGGTGTTCAGGTAATGAGGACAACCAGGAAAACAAATACTTGTCTGCAGTCTGTTTTCCCACCTGAACCATGCCTGGAACATCCATTCAGCCTTTCAGGAACAGCTAAAGGAAACAGCTGGGGAGGCTGAGGAAGAGCTCACGGCGCATGGCCCAGTTTTCTGCTTTCAACTGGATCAAACATAAAATCTTAACCTGGCACCCCGTGCAGGTCGTGGCAAACTGAGCACTGCTACTGCAGCATTGTTCAAACTGAGAACTGCTGCAAAGAGCTGATGGACACAGCTCTTCTACTGCAGGATGCAGGAAGGTAGCTCAGGGTTTGTGAAGTTAGGTGCTGTTAACTCTGAGCTGACCTAAAAAATGGTGCCCTTTACCAACAGCTTGACTTTGCAATCAAAACTTCTTTTTACTGTACTACGTAATTAGAGTGTATAATTTAATGAGCCTTTGATTTTGGTTTATTAAATGCTTATTCAGCACTAAGAGGTAATTAAGCATTAAAGTACCTTCTATAAATCCAGAAACTTGATAATCATCAGTCATAATAAATTTGCCTCATTTCTACGTTTTGTTTCAAGGTCTGCAGATAGAAATGCAAAAAAAAGATTGAGGGAGGTTTTCCAACTCTCTGTTCCCCTAATCCCCAACAAAGAGATGAGAATTGAAAGTGAAACCAATGAACTGTACCTTATAAAGATGTTCCAAATAAAGCCCTTTCTCCAGCAAAGCACATTACCTTCGGCAGCAGGAATCTACTGATGGAATTATGTTTATTGATCCCTGGTATGCAACACTTTGTCTACATGCACATACGGGCTGATTACATATTGTTACACTGTAAAAGTCGGTATGGGTGGCCAAAATATCCTGCCACACAACTAGCCTTGACACACTGGATAGGTAGCCAAGTAATTGGAGTACAACTGCTTGATTTGATTGTCTTTAACTGAATAGTTCCAGTTAAAAGTGTAATGACCATTACTGAGAATTATCAAGCCCTATGAACATTATTCATGAAGGGGCATCTTACAAAAAGTAATCTCAACTACATCTAGGTACCTTAATTTATTTCTTTGCTTTGTGTAGTACATGACTCTAAAATAACAGCTCTTCCATTCCCCCTCCCTTTATTTTAACTTTGCTGGGTGTGCAGGGGGAGAAGAAACCCTTCTCACTGACCTGTACCTCACAAAGTGCAACCCAAGCCAAAAAAAACATTGAAGGAAAAGAAAATGCAGAAAACATTTGTGGTGCATCATGGCAGCATGCAGAAGTTGCTGGCTATACCCGGGGACGGTTGTGTCACAAATTATGCAAACACGTGGCAAAAAATTCTCATTCTAGGCAACTTCCTTTTTTTTGACCTCAGTCCTAGAGTACATGACACTGAGACTCGGATTCGTTTCAACTACTTCTCTTTCTTTTAAGGTGTGGCTCGTAAAGATTCCTTTGTCAAAATACCTTTTTGTGTCTGTGAAGTAACTGTCAAGAGTTACGAGTGATCTCCGGAGCATGAGCTGTGCGCTTACTGTGGTGAACTTCACAGCAGTGCCCTATGGCTCAGCAGTGTTGATGTGCTACCAAAAAATAATGGTACTTCCTGTTGGTACAGCTGGGTTTGTCTGGGAGTGCTGGACACCAAATCCGTGGCTGTACAACTGTGTCGTTCCAGTGGATGCTGCAGCTGTTTTTACCACGTGAACAATGAACAGAAGGTATTTGATGAATGTGTGGCAACACTGACAGCCCTGGGGAACTCAGATGAGAAGCCAATAACTGAAGTTATGATTGTAACCCTGACATTTGCAATACAGTCTGATAGTGCACGTTGTGGCTTCAGTGAAATCACACGCCCCCTGTTTGGAAACCTTCAGAGTGACTGTCACTGGTGTGAGCAGAGATTAGTGCTGGGTGACAGCTCCAGTGGGATCAGGGTTCACAGCGAGGGAAGGTATTTACTGTGAAAACACCGAGTGTGTGATTTGGGGGATTTGTGCTTTGATGTCACGTGCTTAGATATTTTTCTATGTTCAGTCACCGTGCAGGAAAAAAACGGCCCCCAAATAATTGTTAAGAAGCCAAAATAAACAAAACAAAAAGGCACTTTTTGATGGGAGTTGGTGGATTGGTCTGTCCTGGGTGATACCTGCCTGGCTGAAAGGGTTCAGTGACCTGTGCACCTGTGACTCCTCACAAATCCAAATATCTGGTTCTAAAAAACTATTTAGAGAGGAGACTTTAAGCTGAAACAAGATAAATTATCAATGCAACTGTGAGATACAAGTTGTCTCTCGCAGTTTTGCAGAGTGATCACAGAGCAGGGTAATCTCTACACACAGAAAAAAGATTGTGCTGACAGGAACTTAAATACATAATTTATGTACCTACATAAATAGAAGTAATAACAGTAGATATACTGGAGCATGTAGAATTAATTAAAATTTTGTACAGCACTAGTGGCAGGCAACTGAAATTATCAGTACTTTGCTTGACCTTCTGCTTTGGGGTGGCCATGAAACTGAGGTACAAGTTGTGGTTTTTACACTGCTCTGTGTTTACTGTCCGTGTGACTTGACCACGTCCATGGGTTTAGATAAAGCTCTTTTTTATCCTGCTAGAAAAATATATACTCGCCTCAAATGTTTAGATTTTGATTTTTAAAAATGCCAGTGGAAATGTTAAATAATTTCAAGAAATATCTCAATCAATGTTGATAGTATTAGTTATCACAGCTTACAGCACTTATCAGAAAAGATCACAAATGTAATTTTCACCGGTACAAAAATAAAGATACAAGTTATTTTTACCACTGAATAACATCCACCTGAGATTATGGGCTAAGTGCAGTACCTGTCAGTGCTGAACAGAAAATTCGGAGCAGAACAAGGAATTCTGAATGATAAAACTTGGGGCAGTGTTAAATAAAACGTTAGAAGAAGCAAATGTTAATTATGCTGTCCTTCTGACAGCCTGGATGTGTCAGCCTATTAAATGGTAATTGGGGGGGGAAAAAAAAAAAAAAAGGAGAAAAATACTGTTTGGAATTCTAATTGGAAAAAATAAGGGCCTGGGAAAACGTAGCAGCAACCTGAAGGAAAAGGAAACCTAATTAACCTTCCCTGTTCTGGGTCCCTCATAGGAGATAACCCTTCTGTGTTCCTGCTTTCCTGGAGGATGCCGCTCCATGTGACACCTGCGCAGCTCCCGGACCCGCCTCTCCACAGGTACCACCGACGGCGTCAGCTCCTGCTGATGAACTGTGAAGGGAAATTCAGCCCCTCATCCCGCTGACCTCATCCCATCCCGGGGCAGGTCCGAGCGCAGGCAGGACTCCTCCGGCCATCAGGCCATGAGTGTCCCTCTCCGGGCGGTGACACCCCCGAGCGGTGACACCCCCTGCTCTGTCACCCCCTGCTCTGACACCCCCGGGCAGTGACACCCCCTGCTCTGACACCCTTGAGCGGTGACACCCCCGGGCGGTGTCACCCCAGCTCTGACACCCCCTGCTCTGACACCCCCGGGCAGTGCCACCCCAGCTCTGTCACCCCGCGCCGTCACCGCGGGCGCCGCAAATGGCGGCGGCTCCTCCACCCCGCCGTGAGACGCTGTGGGGCGGGGCTTCCCCATAAACCAATCAGAACGCGGTGATCGGCGCTCGACCACGCCTACTCATCCGCCTGCACCAATCGCCTTTCCGGGCGTCGCCAGGGAGGGAAGATGGCGGGCGGAGCAGCCAATGGGGTGGCGGGGAGAGCGCGGGGGGCGGGGCTTGCAAGGCGCGCACGCGGCGATGGCTGGAGCGGCTCTGAGGGAGAGGGACGGGGACCCCCTGGAGAGAGCGGGATAGGGATCCCGGTAAGGAACACTGGGGACATCGGGATAGGGACCCCTGGAGAGAGCGGGATAGGGATCCCGGTAAGGAATACTGGGGACATCGGGATAGGGATCCTGGTAAGGAACACTAGGGTCACCGGGATAGGGATCCCGGTAAGGAACACTGGGGACATCGGGATAGGGACCCCCTGGAGAGAGAGGGATAGGGGTCCCGGTAAGGAACACTGGGGACATCGGGATAGGGATCCCGGTAAGGAACACTGGGCACACCGGGATAGGGATCCCCTGGAGAGACCGGGATAGGGATCTCGGGTACGGAACACTGGGCACACTGGGACCGGGACCTGGGTAAGGATCACTGAGGGGGCTGGACGAGAATCCCGGGACAAGGATCCCCTGGTGGGCTGCTGTGGCAGGGACCCAGGGTGAGGGACACCGGGATAAGGACATCGTGTCTGGGCATCTCTGGGTGAGCCACCAGCCCTCAGCGCTGCTTTTTCCTTTTTCCTTTTTCCTTTTCCTTTTCCTGGCAATTAGCGGCTGTCAGGGTTAAAGTCAGGACTGTCTTGGCTAATAAGTCTGATGAGGAGCAGCTGAGGGAGCTGGGAAAGTTTAGCCTGGAGAAGAGGAGCCTCAGGGGGGAACCTGATCGATCTCTACAACTCCCTGAAAGGAGGGTGTAGCCGGGTGGGAATCGGGCTCTTCTCCCGGGTAACAAGGGACAGGATGAGAGGAAATGGCCTCAAGTTGCACCAGGGGAGTTTTAGATCAGATATTAGGGAAAATTTGTTCACTAATAGGATGCTCAGGCATTGGAACAGGCTGTCCATAGAGGTGATGGAGTCACCACCCCTGGACGTGCTCAAAAACCATGTAGATGTGGTGGACTTGGCAGTGCTGGGTTAATAGTTTGACTTGATGATCAGAAAGGTCTTTTCCAAGCTTAACGATTCTGTGATTCAATAAAATATGTGTATGAGGAAGTTATTCGGGTAAGTACCAGCTGACCTCACCTGGGTTTGGTGAAGGTGAGGGACCATTATTAGTAAGAGCAATAGCCTAAAACAGAAGAACTAACAGATCCGGGAAAGGTCAGAAGAAGAAGTTAAAGTTTTGATTTGGGTTTTTTGTTTGGTGGGGGTTTTGTTGGTTGTTTTATTCCCTTTGGAAAAAAAAAAAAAAGTGAAAAGAAACTTTTGAATAAAAAAGCAGTTGGAGAACTACCGCCCTCTGCCAGTTTGAAACCACTGCCCCTTGTCCTGTGACTCCAGTTCCTCTCCATGTTTCTTTAGGCTCCCTCCAGGTACTGGAAGGCCACAATCAGGCCACTCTGAAGCCTTCTCTTCTCCAGGCTGAGCAATCCCAATTTTTCCCAGCCTTTTTTTTTTTTTAATTTTATTTTCTTTAAAATGTTTCTTTCTTTCACTGCACCAGGCCTGAGGACAAGAGCCCTTTACTGAGCAGCCCAAGCATCTGTTCTCTGTACCTGGCTGTGTGGGAGGCCTCCTGTAAAAGCAGATGGTTGTTCCATGGTGGCAGCACTTCCTGGCTGGGTTCTGCAGCTTTGTTGTGCTTTTGCTGGGACCATACAAATAATGGGATCCTCAGCTTTTGGGGGGGATGGAGGGGGAGGTAAAGCAGAGGGAGATCAGCTCTACCACGCCGACCAGCCCTGTTGATACCAAGTTGCCTGTGCAGACACCTAAGACTTGGTTTTACTGGGTGAGTGAAAAGATGTTTTCTGTGTGGCTCAGCTTCTCACCAGACATCCAAAAAGGGTGTTGAGGCTTGTGAATTGGAGAGTTGGCAAGGCCAGGTTTTGGAGATGACTGTGCTTTGGGACTTGAATGCAGTTTAAGGTGCAGGATGGACAGTGGAGGACATAAGAAAGGCAGGAAAAGAGTTTGTCTGTAGCCACGTGGGATTAGGAAGTTCAGCTTCAAACATACTTTGACCTCCTCAGACTTCAGCCTGGCCCAGTACCCACTTTCCCCTCAGCTCTTCCTCTTCTTATGCTCCTGTACTGTCACTTTTCCTTTAACCCAAGGGTTACATGAAGTCTTGCTGGTGCATTTTCTTCTCTCATTTCCTCCTGCTTTTATTTTAGGTTAGTTAAATATATGTGGAGGTAACTTGTGGACACGACTGACTAGGGAGTATTTATTGGCTTCCAAAGTAAATGGAAGGCAGAGGGACTGGGAAGTAGTATAGAGAAGATGATTTCTTTGGTAGGTAAAGCTTTAGACTCTGAACAAAGGATGTCTGATGCCAAAACATTGCCCTCAAATTAAAATGAAGTCGTTAGGATTAATCGTTTCTATCACGTATTTTTGCCTTAGCTGACATTTTGATGCAAATTTTAACAAAATATTTCAGTGGGAACAAAGCAGGAGATGGAGGTGGGCAGTTCACTGGAAGAAGAGATTAAGCCAATCTGTAGCTCTGAGAAAATTGTGCTGAAATTGCAGGACAAATCCTGAGTAATTCCATCAGGCTGCTCTGAAGGTCCCAGCATAGAATGTGTTTTCTGTCCTGTTTCTTTGTCTTTACAGGATATTCGAGTCTTTTCAAAAATCAAAGTATTTTGCAAGAAGTGTCAGGAAGCAAATATTGTGCAGCTGTTCATTTTAACAAGTTCATATTTTCGTATGAACTCTTCAGTCTCATACATTTTTATTCTGTTTCTTATGTCAGATATTAAAGTCCTGAAGGACTATTACATCATCTAGTCAGATCTCCTTTGCAACATAAACCATCTGTGCTGTTGTTTATACCCTTTACAGACGTAAATTGATCTCCCCTTTTCACATTTATCTGCAGGCATTTCTTGCAGATCGTCAATATTATCAGGTTTTCATTAATAGTTTTTATCACACTTTTTGTATTGTTGAAAAATGTTTTGGGGTGGCCTTAATGTTCAGTTTCAGACTAAATTTGCAGGAGATAGAGGAATGAAAGTGTTTTAAAACCTAAACCTGATTAAACTCTGTTGTTTTGCTCTTTGAGACTTGTTTTAGATGACTGCACTGTGGCCTTATAAGGGCACTTGCTATTTTTCTTTAATTCTCTAGTTTTCCAGCTAAATGAAAGCTTAATGAATGATCAAAACTAAGGGGTTCCAGAAATCCTTTTTCATAAAGCAGCTGAATCTTATCTGTAAAAAAACCAAGTGCATTAAAACACTCATAGTTCTGCTGTATTAAACTGATTGAAAACCAAAATTAGCCTTAAAGTAAAATGATTGTTCTTCTGTATTGTTAATCATCTTCCTTGCAATTTCTTTTTTCTTCAGTGGAATTTTACTCTTTTTTTTAATATATATTTTTAGTTGATAAGCAACTTCTGACTTGCAACTTCTGACTCTGCACCTAGCCATAACTACGGAGGTATTTCCTTTCCCCCTGCCTGTTATTTCAAGTCTTGTTAAAAATAAGATGCAAAAGTGCTGTACAATTGCTGAGCAGTGAAATTGGTGAAAGGACAAACAAGCATTTAACTAAAATTGACAAACTGCTTGCTAGAAGGAGTTATATGCTGGCAGTACCTGGGATAGGAAGCTTCATATATTGCTCACTCTTCCATAATTTGAGAATCTTTTCATAATAATAATTTGTGTATCTTTGTTGCCATGGGAATGACTGAGAAAGCTGGAATTAAGTGTTATTGCTTCTTTGTGCAATCAGAAGGGACAAGGAGATGGTTGTGAAAGCAAAGATGCTTGTTTAGAAACAGGTCCTTTGCTAGCAATCCTGACTTACTTATCAGCAATCCTGAGATTTTATATGGTTTATGAAGGAATTTTTTGTTGTAAAAGGAGTTAATTTTAGTTTATTCAGTGTCTGTCAGAATATCTAAGGAAGTTCATGACTCAGTTTTAAAAGGGAGAAAACCAGATTTCGGTTTAGTTTCAAATTTAGTTTTAGTGGTTTAATGTCTTTGGTAACTACTACCATGTATGTGTATTCAGTGTTCCTGCTTGAGTAATGTTTGTAGCAGCCAGATACGAGATTGAGAAGGGGAAGGGGTTTTTAGCTGTTGGGTTTGGTTTGTTCACCCTTCCTCCCTGGGGAAATTTAGTGTTGAGTGTTTTGGACTCTGTTTTTGGACTTGCTGGATGCTAAAAGGAGCAAATACAGACACACACACACACACAACTTAGTCGTTCCCTGTGGGTTTATGTGTGCATTGCATGGAAATAAGAGTCTCATCTTGGTTTATCATGAAGTCTGAAAGATTAAAAGCTCCGAATTGAAGTCCAAAATGAGACTTCCAAAAGGAACGTGTGTATATGTTTAACCTCTGACACCTCAGAAAGAAAAGTTGTGGTGTAGTTGAATTTGGCTGGGTTTTTTCCTTCCTAATTTTTTTGGCGCTAGACAGCTCTGAGTGA